CCTCTTATCGTTAGCTCGACGGCAAGAAGATTCTTCCCATGATTCGTCTGCCATTAAGGATATTTTAAGTCTGCACTGTGGTTGGTGCGAGCCGAGAGTAGAATTCGTATGAACCAGCCGTCCTTCGTAGCATTAAACTTAACATTTAATTCCATAAATACCTTAAAATCCATCAATGCATAGAATTTTAAAACGTCCCTATCGTTCCTTTTTGCTACACAAAAATAACAGAAAAGAAAAATCGATAAAGTGTTAGACTTAGTTGATTAATCCTTTTTTCTAATGAAATAAATCTTGCTACTTATAGCCTATAATATATAACTTGCTAACCTATAATTTCTTTCTAAAAACGTAAAACTGTTCAAAATAATATTTAATCTAGCATTGAAAAAGCAAAGCAGCTTCATTCGCATTTTTTCTGAACTCGTACCTATTCATTAATTCATAGGGAATTCAGTTACAAAGAGTGAAAATAGTATCTCATTTGCTTTTATCCAATGAACATTTCTATCAAGAGCTTTGTCAGATTTTTATTCATTACAAAGAAAGATCGCAGCAGACACACATATCTTTATTTAGGGCTATTTTCACTCGTCAGAAACGTCCTGCCACTGGACAGTCCTGACCGACGTTATCTTGACGTTAATTCTTTGGAACGGGAAACGTTTGCTTTCTGTCGGTTTTCTGTATTACTTTGTAACCAAAAAAAAAGACGAAACCCGTCTGTTTGGATCTATTTATTCTACTCTCCTATTGGTTTGCTATTTTTCCTCAACTCTGCTAAAATCATTTTTTTTTTTTCCCTCTGTCTCCGACTTTGACATTTCTATAGCTTATGGTCGAAATTTTGTTTTCAATGGTGTCTTTATTTTTCAAAGCTTTGGCATTCGGTATATATAACCTATATATTTTATCTGTGAATACTATCTTAATGGGATATATTTTTATTTTATTTTTTTTTACGTTATCGTTGGCTGATATTTCCTCTTTTTTTTTTTTTTTTTTTTTTTTTTTTTGTACAGCGACACCATTTACGTTCTTTTGTCCATTCTGTGTTTGATAGTTAAGATTTCTTTAATAGTTAAATCGGTGTTAACAAATCAGATGCCTTTTATACTTTAGTTATTTTGTTTAGCGTGTAGTCTGGTAAAGTGTTATATTGATTCCATTCTGTCTTTTCATTTCATTCTTCTTTGGATTGCGAGATGCGTGTTACTTTTTCTTTTTTTTTTTAAATCGAGATAAATGTTTTTTTTTCTTTGCTTGCAACATGCCAAGTTTTTTGGATTTATGTTGTTTCATCAGTAGAAATAAAAACAAAAGTTTTACAAAGTTTTTAAGTAAACTTTACAAAGTTTTTAAGTTATTATTTTATATTTTAAAAAAAATATGCGATTCATATGTGTGAATACATAGAGCAGGACTCTCATAGGTCAGGGAAAACCTGAAATTGTTAGATAATTTTATTTATTTATTTATTTTGTAAAGAACTTGGGAAATTTCCTTGTTATTAATCATACCTGGAAAATAACCAGTTTTAAAATTGCCAGTAACAGTAATCACTTATTGAGATAAGATTTAAGTAATTTTAACATTTATTGCAATTTTTTATTGTAAAAATTCCACATTTTAGCGAAACTTTTCTTGTTTTCATCTTTATTCAGTGACATTTTTTTTTCTTGCTCACAAAATCTAATATTTGACGTTACAAACAAAATCAAAATTTTCCGATGAAAAAATGCATGGTATAGATAAAATATGGTATAAATTAACGTTGAAATTTTCTTGAAATTCCTGGAAAATAAATTTCTAAAATTAAGTGTGCCCTGATAAGAGTTAAATGTGAACGAAGGAATTACATGAAAAAGAATTGATTTCAAATTTATTCATACGTTCATGTAACTCTTTCGAAACATTATCTCTAATTATCGTTGTAGTGTAAACAGGCCAACCGGTATCATACCTTATTAGTAAACTACAATTATTTTATAAAGAAGTGGCTGTTGTGTAGTAATTAACTGCTGCTCTATTAACTCTTTGTACAAATTTATCGAGTTCATCGAAAATATTGAATTTTTATTAATTTCTTATAATTCTCATTATTTCTTTATCCTTTTAACGGATCTGACTAAGGTGCCCATCAGATAGGAATGGTGATTTCTCTGACTTTTCTTTTTTGAGGATTAAATCATACCCGTGTCATATTTTCGTCCGTTTTTAAAAGTAACTAAAATGCTTTCGAAACTCGACCAATTGATTATATTACTTATTTAAATTATTTTTATGTCGTGGTGATAAAATTTATAAAGCAAAGAATCAAATATTAAAGTCTAACTTTGGAAATGAATTTATGCAACTTTGAAAAATATGTAGCAGTAGTGAGAAGGTATGAAAAATTGGAACGTATTTTTTTTTTTTTCCGCTAGACACTTAATTCTTTGAAAACTTAAAGTACTGTATAAAGTAAATTTAATTTGTTTTAATTAATATTCATTGTTTCATAAAAACAGTAAAACTTATTGTTTTAACTAAATATTTTTCCAACCTATAAAATAAGCGTGGATTTTAAACTCTATGTTTGTATATTTTGAATTTGCTGTTTTGTTTCCCATGGAATAATTTGCGTAAAAAGCTGTGTATATGCCAAAAATATTTATAGGGATTCTCGAACTTCAAAGCAGCGTTCCGCGAATTCAATCCGGGAGAATAGTTTCTGCTTGAGTTAAAAATACAATTTTTACCATGTATGAGCTGGGCCTCCACCCTCCTTCTATATTTTTTTATGAATGCGGCTGTAATATTGAATTTTGAATGAAAAGCGAAAGCCGGTGCGCTGTGTGTTTTTTTATTCATGTTGTATACAAATTCTTTAGTTCCTGTTGAATTTCTCCGTCGCCATTTCGTAGTATCTTATTCTACTTTTAAAATGCTCCGATTTTCTTTCTCTTTCCCTCGTGGGAAGCATAAATTATCAGGTCGTCTGATAAACTCAAACTCCTGTGAAATGTTTAAGATTTAGGTATGAGTTTTATTGAGGATATATTGTTGTTGAAATAGCCATAAATTTCATTTCCTTTATTCGAAAGGACTAGCTCGGTAGTAAAAAATTGCCAGATTTTTTTTTTAACTCTCGTTATATTAAATATGTTTGAAAGATTCATCGCGCCGTAAAAATGTCTTTGAGTATGTATTGCCCTCAAGAAATCCTTCACTATATGCTACTATAACAATATATTTTTTTTCAACAGTTTCACCTAAAGATTGTTATATTAATAGTAATTGAATGCTTAATTGATAAACTTGTAGCTAAGCTTCATAAATCAATCTTGTCTTTCGAGATTGAGTGTTCACCTTTAACTAGGGCACGAAATTAACGGTGATCCATTGATCTGTGACCCCTAGAATTTTACTCGGACCACCATAAATTAATTTAACAGCAATCAAAAGGAGGGGGTGGTATTCTGCTTTGGTTTTACTTTGGCTAAGCTAAGAGCAGAACCTACTGGGGAGCACAGCATTGAGGTTTGTATCTGCTCGAGCTCGATCACCTAGCCCCGTGTATATAAACAACACACTATTTCCTTGATTTTTTTCCTGGTGGCCCTTTGCGCCAAATGCAGAGTTAATACACATTCCCAGCATCCCAGCGTTATTATTATTATTATTTTGTCATCCAGGTTGGGTTTAAAACTACAAGACCACGGCGTTTATTTAATAGTTATTGCTGAACTTTTCCACGGGATTTAAAAAATCCTGGTATTTTAATCCGGTGCTATAACGATTTGCGATTTTCGAATCAGGCATTTTAATCATCTCCTTTGACGTGCTTCATTTGTGCCGATTTCATCGTCACAATCTAAGTTATTTTTTAATTGTTTTTTTTTTTTTTTTTTTTTTTTTTTTTTTTTTTTTTTTTTTTTTTTTGAAACTCGATATTTTTAATATAATATTATTACAAAACATAAAATTTGAATATGGGCTTTTAAACTGCTAACTGTTTTTGAACTTTGTTTCCAATTTTTTGTTGCTTAAAAAGCGGATTTAATATTCCTTAAATCTCATACAATTTCTGTAATTAAAGTATTTAATTTACATTTATGTTGCTCAATAAATTTTTACTTTAATTCAATGCACATTCAGTAAATTTTTTTAATGAATTTTTGTGTTGCTTGCAACCATATTTTCAAGCTGACTAATAAAAAAGAATTAAGTATTTGGAAAAAAAATTATTTCATGCACTGATGTTTTAATAAAAATTATCGTATTGCCCTCAGCGTGTTTAAATACTTGGGCACCCACCCTTCTATATTACAATAAAAATAATTTTTTCTTTATAAAATATTTTTTAATTCATATTATGAATAAAAAATCTCTTAACTAAACTTTGAATATAAGAATTGTAAGATAGCTAGTTATTTACTCGTATTTTTAAGATTAATTTCATTTCAATGTGATAAGTTTATACAACATTCCAAATTTAGTACGTTTTCTAAATTCTGCCTTACATCGCAATTATCAATTTTAATCAATTCAGTCACTCATTAATCAATTTTACTATACATAAATTAAAATAAAATGAATTACAAATGCCCGAACGTCTCTTCATTGTGTTCGTTTCATATTATAATTTTAAAAAAAATTTTAAGTCTACAATAGGGCGCATTTTTAAATCCTGCAGGGGTCTTGCACCTAAGTCTATGCGCACCACTACTTCCTGATTCAATACATTTTAACATTAAGTAATTGCAACTCACTAATTTAAACTGCGAGTGATTTGATAGATTCTTTACCATTGTTCTTTTAATAAATATTTTGACTTAACTGACTGTAATTTCATTTTTATTCAATAAATGAAATAGCTATGCGTTTACTTACTTGGTTTATAAATGTAATATATTTGATATAATGTTGATGTAATGTTGGTTTATAATTGCATTTATAAATGTAACGTGTAAAATGTTTCTACCACTTCTAATGGCCTTTTTTTCTTTTCTGTTTAGCTTCTCGTATACGTTATGAAATAACTGCGGGAAACATAGGTGGAGCTTTTGCTGTGAAAAATGAAACAGGAGCTATTTATGTTGCTAGTCCCCTTGATTATGAAACAAGAAAATCGGTAAGTGCTTTTTAAACGAAATTTTTTTGTTTAGATCTTCTTCTTTTTTTCATTGGAGGTAGTTTTTACTCAACTTCTTAAAAAATAACAATAAAATTATGTTATGCTAATTAAGAGGCCTTTTTCCTCTCGACCCATCATAACTTTTGACGGTGTAAAAGACGAGGAGGGAAAATTCTAAATATGTTCTTTTTCATTAAATTTTCACATTTCTGCTGGATAATCACTATATTCGTCAATATCTTTCAAAGCATGTGAAATTCAAGTCCGTCAGCCAACCACACTTTGATAGATAAAGCGTTTTAGTTTTTTATGCATTTTTTTTTCTGATATAATTATACCAATTCAGTTCTGCAATCAGCATTTTTCGAAAGCTAGTTTAGTATCATACATTTGTCGATTTTTATATTTTTGATAAATATCTTCGTTTTTGCCTAATTTACATTAAACGAAATTATTATTGACATCCGTTAACATTCCAGCTTGTCATAAAATCAAATGTCTTAATCTAAGAACGGACAACTATGCAGTTTTTAAATTGCTTGCTCACAGCCACAAATAACATTATTTTGTTGCTTTACATTGAATAAAGAAATCGATATAAGCTCTAAAAATTTATCAAGCACCATTTCTTCTTATTGAATAAGGTGGTCCCTTTATTTATTGTTTTTTTTTCTGAAAGGCACTCTGTTAAAAGCTTATTCAATACAAATAACAATAATAAATTATTCAATACCAGAAAATGAAGAAGATAAAGCAAAATTGAAAATTTAACAAGATGGCTATGAGAAAAGTGTAAATACTGAATTGTTCATTCGAATTTCCAGGTTTCCATATGTTTCAAAATTATTTTTAAAAATACGATACCTCATTTAAATGATATTTTTCCCATTTAATTGCAGTTGCTTAATTTATTTCAATTACTTGATACCAAGTTTTCTTATGTAACATAATTTGACACTTTTTAATTATTCAATAAATACATGCTTTCAAAGTCAGTATTTATTACGGTTCTCCGCTTTTATTCTTTGTTCTTTTAAACTTATTAAATAATTTTGCACAGGAAAAAAAAAAAGCACATTTACGAAGCTCTTGCAATGACGTTGTATGTATTTTTTTAAATTTAATATTTAAGATTTACAAAAAATATTTCAAGTTTAAAAGAAAAATAATTTCTCTTTAAATACATTAAAAATACATTAAAAATTTCTTTGTTTCATGCAAATGAAAAAAAAATATAAAAGAGATGTATAAAAAAGCTTTTTTAAAAGAAAATAAAAATGTTCCTTTATTATAAGATTTTTTTTTTCCGAACCTTAGTAACTTGCTAAACATAATTATTTTCCAAACCATTTTTAGAGCTTAGAAAAAAATAATGGTTATACTTAAAACCTCTAATCCAGTTAAAGAATTTAGATAAGTACGTAAATTAAAATGAAATATTTAAAGATTTGATTTTTAATGGTTTTAGTAAAGTCACCGAAAAGCAAATTTCTTAAAAAGCGATGAAAGCAGACATTAAATCTTTTTAAACAATTTTCCTTTTAACTTTGAACTCGTTAAAAAGTGAGTGAATAAACGTAAATTAGAACATCTTCTTATTTTGATTTTATGCTACTTTGAGCCTTTTTAAAGCAATTTTTTATGTAACTTTTTTTCTCTGCACTGTTCCCAAAAGCGCAAAGGACGATATAATGCACAATTTATTTCAAAGCTCTCCAAGAAAGTGAAACGAATACATTATTGAAACATGTCTGGCCTCCAACTTTTGATGTATGGTAAAAACGGTAAAAGAAGGGAGGAAAAAAAGGACATTTCAATTTAAGAATTAGTAAATGTCTCTTGCTATTCATCAAATTTTTTTTTTTCTGGAAAGCAAATGTTTACGATGTTTAAGAAAATAGTGCTTTTAAAAAGAATTTCTTACGTTGATTAATGTTCGGGACAGCGTTTTTAAAACTTATAAGTAAATAGAATGCCTATTAATTTTAATGACATTCCAAGTTCATTTGCATTTCAAATGATTTTCAGTAAAAGGGATATTTTCTGACATTTTATGGTTACTTAAAAATCTTGAAATGGAAAATACATTCTTATTCAATTTCAAATCTTCATTTGTCTTGTGGTTGAAGTTTTAGAATACATTTTTCTATCCAGCTATTTATAAATGAAACAATTGTTTCAATTTTATAAATAGTTGCACTTTAGCATAATAGTTGCGAATTATGTTTCCCTGTTAATTTTGAATGCTTAATAGTTGAATATTAATAAATGTAAATCATAGTGAACAATATGAAATTAAACACTCGAATTTATAAAACAAGAATACGAAGTAGGTGATTTTTAGAATAAATATTTTTAAGTGCCAATGTAACTTCAAACTAATTGTCATTATATGCGTTTTATATGTGTAATATTATAGAATTTTTTTTAAACAATTGTTTATTAAAATTGAGTTTTAATTATTTGAAGGAGAATTTAAAATAATTTTTAAATAATTAAATAGCTGGCAATGGAGAAAATCCCTGAATATTTTCATGTGTAATATTATTTAATATGTATATTTTTTATAATGTAAGATCTTATGATCTTATTATTTTTTATAATGTAAGGGAAGAAGGTTTAAGTGACATTACTGAAGGGGGGGGATGAGATTTCTCTTATAAAGATCCTATTAACATAACATATCTTCGTAGATAAAGGGAAGGGTGTTTTTAGTGTGAAGAAAATTGAGCAATTAGCAATCGGCGAATAACCTTAGAAAAATTGTCTTTTATCAGCTTGTTAAGATCATAAAAGTGCAATAGCTGTGACTCGAACTGTTTAAATGAAAAGATTTCTAGACTTAACGAAATGGAAGCTTGCAGAAAAGAGAGATAAAGATCTGGTCTTTATTTGCTATTGGCAATGTATATATTTACTGCTGTTTTTCTAAGGCTCTATCGTCGCATGAAATAATGCTTTTTTTACGAATGACATATTATTCTGTGATTTTGCAACAGTTCCTCATACGTGTTAGGTCGAGTTTAGCCCGTCTTTAGCCAGCGCCCTTTTTGTTTATTCTGAAAATAGAGCGAAATGTCAATGAGGAGAAAAGCCACAGTTTTGAGAAAATAAAAAAAAGTTATTCGTCTGTTTTAAAGCCCAGATTATTCTTCGCGGTAAGATGACTTATATGGTTTAAAATTATAGTTTTTCTTCAGACACAAGGACTTACTTTCTCTTGGCAAAAGTCCCACAGTGGACTGATCGTTAAGACACGGTTCCCAGCAGATCACCGAAGTCAAGCATCACTGACTGCGGTCAGTGTGCGGGTGGGTGACCACTTGGATCAGTCTGCGTAGGGACCGAGGGTGTGTGGTATTGGTCCTCGTTAAACTGTTCTACCGTAAAGTGCTCGCCTTCGCGTGCAGGTCGTCGGGCTACCGAAGCGGGGGTGCCATCCCCTCTGCAGAGGATCAAAATTGTGATGGCATCATCCTCAGGGATGTTTCCCAGACCGTCGCCAATAGCCCATTGTGCAGCTCTAGTGCGACGTAAATGAATAAAACAAACAATTCTCTTGGCAAAAGAGCTTCGAAAAGGCATGGTAAGCACTAATTTACTCAACTTCGTCAAAATGACACTAATCATTGAGCTCTTCAATAAATTATATTATTTTATGCCCTATAATTTTCTTGTTTTCTCTCGACATGAATAAATTAGTGATATTAAATGTCATATTCAAGTTTAAAATCCTATTTCATATTTTATACAACCTATGTATATGTCTATATTCTGTGTAGATAAGCATTCAAAGAATGTTTTCGATATACAAAAGTGTCTGTTTTGGAATGTTTGTATCTAGATCCCCTTTCACTGAGTTTTTTGATTCAGGCTATTCGTATTGTGATCCACGAGGTATAAATTCACTGTGAAAATATGTAAAGTATTTTATGCAAATGAGTTTGGTGAATTTTTTTCTCGCCAAACATCCCTTTCACATACGCATTATCGATTATGTCTTCATCCAGCTGTGCTGCAAGCATCGATTACTGCTTGTATTGATATATGAAAAGCGCATTTTTCTGTCCTCTCTTGCCTGTGTGAATGTTTTCAACTTCAAAGCTTTACTTATCCATAATTCATTACCAAACAAAGCGCTACGTAAAAAATTAGCAAAAAGAAGAAAAAAACTTTATTTTTTTCGTATCTGATCTAAACTTAATTCCCACAAGCTCCCCTATTCGTTGTTTGTTTTTTTTTTTTTACAAAGCAGCACGTAAATTATAAATCAAATAAACCTCAACAAATAAATGATTTCTTAATGTAAACTGTTTAGATTGTCAATTAAAAATTTCATTTGGCATTTTAAAATTATTTTAGAGAATTATTGCTGTTGTGATTTGGGGAAATAGACTTGCGAATTCAATTAATGGATTTGTCATTTGAATCTGACTAGGAAGACGAGAACTCTCAAAAGACTCCCCGATGAGTGGAAAAATTAAGCAAAGAAAAAAAGGAGACAAAAATGTACTGTTTGTTGCGTTTTGCTTTAGAAACTTGGATATTTATTCTCGCCTGGTTTCTAGTAATTAATAGATGTCAGTACTGACTGTAAGAACTATTAATCCCTCTCCCTTTGCTGCGTGACAAACTATTCTACTAGGGTGTCTGTTCAATTTGTCATATTATTTGTAAAAGGAAACCTAGTTTTAGAGTTCAGTATGATGTAGCTGCGCACTACACTTTGACGAACTTTGTAACTGAACGCTGCGTATCTACGTTTTTCTTATGTACCAAATATATATATAATTGCTACTGCGACCAACTCTTGTTCGTAAAAGATATTTTGAAAGAAACTAAATTGTTAGTTGAAAGAAACGAAAAGATTTTACTGTTAGCCCAAAAAGTGTTGCGGATTTAACCGTATACATTGAGAAAGAAGTTGTTGGAGCTAAACTATTTCACATACCGCAAAAGGTCTTCAAAAATTCTACAAAATATGGAAATAAGGATTT